ATATGAATATGAATGACCTAAGAGAGATTGACTAATCTTTGTTCCGGGATATTGAGGCACATGAATGAATCAAGGAACATATCTCCTTATAAAATTATCTGATTCATCCAATAGTTTCACATTTTTATATTACTTAATTTCAAAAGCACATCTTTGTAAGGTGGCTTACAAAATAAAAATCTAAACCCCAAAACAAGTTAAAATGCGACCATAACATAATAATACATAAATATACAGCAAAACCTCTCAAGAAGCCATATATAAAACATGCTCATGCACTTTACCTAAATAATGCACACTGTAATAAGATGAATTTAAGAGACTGATATTAGACTATAATGGCATCAAATAAACCTCCATTAGAAGACTGAGCAGTCCTAGAGAAAGCGTCTTCTTATTCATTTTTACCAACTCTTATTCCATTGTTAATGAGATACTATATTGTAGAGAGCCTCAGATCTCAAGAAGTTCAGATGTGAATATAAACTGGTGCTGTGTCATATCAAGTTTTAAAAGTGTAATTGACATCTTAAGTTGAGCCCAGAACTGAATTTGTCATTGTATGAGCTATTTCACTGATTCCACACTAAATGTAATCAGAGTATTCTGAAACTATTGATGTTTCCAGATTGACTTCAACTGCAGCTTGATTTTAAGTGCATTACAATAATTCAATGTAGGCGTGACTGCAGTATAAATAGTCAGAACTAAGTTGATCTTCCAGAAAAAAAAATGATTCATTAACAAATTAATTAGTAGATAGATTTGACCGGGGGCATATTTTTCTACCATTGTAACTTACAATTATATATGCCCAAATTGATTGAGGAACAACTTCAATATCATTTTTTTTCCTTCTAGAATAATGCAAATTTATTTAAAGCAGGATGAAGCATCTCTTTCAACATTATCAGTACCTCAATCCAATAGTTTCCATCACATATCTCCATCTTATTTCTGTACAATTTTGTTCATGCTTTACAAGGCATCCGCATATTTCTTCATCTTGCAGGATTGCCTTTCACTGCCAGGTAATAAAACAATCCTGAAAATATATACACATAATAAAATTAATAATAACTCAAAGTTGTTACCATGTGCTGATAAATGTTGAGACACCCTTGTGCAAGTTGCCACCTTTTCTTATTCTATAATCTCCTTGATGCAATAATCCATACTGTGAGCTATTCTGGTCTCCCTTTCAACAGAACTGCCTTCAGTGATCCCTTTGCCCTTTTTGCTTTAGATCTGACTTACTGTGGGTATACAAGACTCACTCTCTGTTCTTGATATTAGCTGGGTAAAAAGCCTGAACTGATCATATTTAGTGATACATTTTTCCAGCAGCATAAAACCTGGTTAAGAATCATGATCTCTTTCCTTTGATGTTATTGGCATGGTTCCCTACAGTGCATGTAATTTCATATTAATTCATCACATCTCTGACTGGGTGGCAATAATGCCTTTTTAATGGGGGAATGAATAATATAAAATTAATTCTCTGCTAGAAAATTTGCCATGAATCTTTGGTCAATGCTTAGAATGAAACATGGAAAATAGAGCAGCCTTGATTCAGAGCATTGTTTAAAACATAAGCCTAATCTTACATCATTAGCAATTGGGGAAGAGACTGGAGCATGAGTCCTATGAAACTGTTGGATGATTGCAGGATTGCATATTTTATGAAGCATGGTCATTCAATTCATACGAGACAAGCAAATTACAGAAGGAAGGTAACCTATTTTCTGTGGACACTTCAAACAGGAGCCATTATTTGTGCCAGGCAGATGAGACGAATGGCCTAAGATGCTTGCTACCCAAATAGAAAAATGGACACAAGAGGTGGTAAAGAACACAATGAGATAGAAAATAAGTTTGGCTGTAATTGCATTTTTGGGGGGCTTCTAAGGTAGTATATCTCCTAGTGTAGGTAAAGGCACAAGGCTTATCAGATATTTAATTTCTTTTTTTAAAAAAGCTGGGCTTAACCTGTCTGAAAACTAGATCTTTTATTCAGAAGGCTGCTTTCTAATCCACAAATAGAGGACATGTGCATAATAGCTGATGAATGAGAGAAGCATACTGGACATTTGGTCAAGAATATTTTTGGTGATGTTGTTGTTATGGCATTAAAAACAAGTTTGCCAGCTCAGGCTTGATTTCAAATATAAGCCTCTGGATTTTAGGTTATTCTTGCTTAAGAAATCAGGAAGTATCTCTAATTGTTCTTCTCAGCTTCACACCTCCCCTTCTTCCCCCGCTACCCCTATCTCTGTCACCATAAATGTATATAAATAATTGAGAACCTTGGAAGCAGAACGGAAAAGTGATTTTGAATGCTGCCAAGGTGTAAGGGCTAGTCCAAGGCAGCTGGCAGTTTCTGGCTGTTCCTATCACACAGAAACCATTTAGAGAGCTGTCCAGCAGGGTGAGGATTTCACTCAAAACCTTGCCCTAAAGGGATGGCGACACAAGTTGTATCTGAAGTGCTGTAGTCTGCTTCTGTACCGCCCTCCTCTCACAGTGAAATATGCAGACTATCTGGAAGCTCTGTTAAATGTTTAATGAGGCCCCTGACCGAGCAAAGCTGGAGGAGCCACAATCAGAGAACTAGTTTCTTTCTCATAGGTCACTGATTTTACACATAGCTCACTCTGTGGTGCTACCCAGAAGCCCTTTCCTCAGGGGAATGATTGTATGCAGAAAAAAAGAGGGGGCATTAATATTTATAAAGCAAGCAAGCTCTACAACTACTCTCAGGACTACAATTAAACTTCGACAATAGTAATAAGGAGCCTTGTGCCTTCTGCAGCTGCTGCTTGCTTTTGGTTCTGAGGAAGCAGACCTCACAGACCATTGGGAAAACAATATCCAGCCCACAGTCCAGAATGATTGATGTAGGAGACCTTTAGAGTTTCATACATGCAGTCAGAGGCAAAAGGGCTAATACATAGGTCTGTAGAATGGGGAAAGCATAAAATAACAGATAGGAGGTATTTAGCTAAAGCCCTGACTCAGTGCAGATAGTTAAGGGCAGTCTATAAGATTGCACTGGAGCTTTCTTGCTGGTGCTATTCTTGAAGACATGAACGGGCATTCGGAAATAAGGGATTGAGGTTCAGTGGTGTTCATTTAATCTTAAGACTCCAGATATTATGGGCTCAAACTCTAAAGACACTACATTTTTCATTTTGGGTTCAGAACCAGTGATCAAAATGGGGACCATTGATATTTAAATGCTGTTTATACCAATTATGCCATAAGGCCAGGATGATGACAGTCCTGCCTCTGTAGTTCTACTTGCTTCTACGTGACATAGTTTATTCTTTTTGTTTTGCAGTTTTGCCTTTAATGGCAGCATATTTTTGGGTGCTTTTACATAGAAATGCACCAACCCCTTTTCTCTATAATACGAGGTGTTTGACATATCAAGAAAATGGCCTTAAGAGAGCGGGTTTCTTTCTTGGAACCATTCTAAGACACAGCAATGTTCCAAGAATATTCCTTTAGAAATCCTAAGGGCCCATTTCCTCAGGGATCCAGGACAAAGAAAAAGTATTACTCCTAAACGGCATACACTTAAGAAGATTTCTTATGGAGGATCTCTCTCTCTCTCTCTCTCTCTCTCTCTCTCTCTCTCTCTCTCTC